CTAAACACTCTCAGGGACTTCTAGCTCATCCTCTGCTGAATCCTCCATTCACCTTCTTTACACAAAAGGTCAGATTCTCCATTGGCCAACCCTACTGCATCAGTACAGTTGTAACACTAGAAATAAGAACTCAAACCCAAGGCCTAAAATTTATAGACAGCAAATCCAGCCAACTGTTGGAAATTATTTAGCCACACACTCCATCTAAGATATTCTTCCACTATATCAAAATAATATGAAATTATTATAATTAATGTTATTAACAATCATGTAGCTTTTCTGAGCTGTTACCCAGGAAAAGTACCAGAGTACTCATTCCCTTCACAACATAAAGTGGTTCCTTAGTGGGAGTAAAGACATTACCCATAATTTATAGGGAACTCTATTTCTCTTTGTTTTTTTAAAGATTTTATTGGGGAATTGGGGAAGGGGAACAGCCAAGTTGTTGTCCTTCAATCTTAGCTGTGGAGGGCGCAGCAAGCTCAGCTCCAAGTCCTGTCGCCAACCGGCTGTTCAGCTCAAGGTGCTGTGTTCAATTATACTTGCCGGTGGGCATTGCCCACTATCCCATGCAGGGAAGCAAACAGGCAATCTTGTTGTTAGGAGCACGTGCTCTCACCAGCTGAGCCATCCTGCCATCTGTTGGCAGCTCAGTGGCAGCTCAGCCCAGGCGCAGCTCACTGGCCCATGTAGGAATCAAACCGGCGACCCTGTTGCTCAGAGCTCGCACTCTTAACCAATTAAGCCATTCGGCCGGCCCTATTTCTCATTTTTTTTATGTAAGGAGGCTAATCTAGACTACGTTATCTGCTATTATCTCACCACCATCATTAACCTATAACAGTGGAAGTGAGGGAATCAATAACAGTACAGTAAATTCCACAGCCTAAATCAGCATTTCTGAACCACATCTGAATTTCTGAAAAGGTAGTTGTCTTAGTCTGACTGGGCTGCTATAACAAAATACCACAAACAGAGTAGCCTATGAACAACAGAAATTTCTTACAGTTCTGGAGGCTGGAAGTCCAAAATCAAAGGTGCCAACATGGTCTGGTGAGGGCCCTCTGCTTGGTTAATAGCTGTTTCCTTTTCACTGCCCTCACATGAAGGAATAGGGATTTCTCTGGAGCCTCTTTTATAAGGCACTAATCCCATTCGTGAGGGCTCCATGCTCATGACTTAAGCATCTCCCACCTCCTAATACCATCATCTTTGGGGGTTAGGATTTCAACATATGAATATAAGGGGACACATTAAAACCACAGCAGTAGTCAATCCGATTAATCCAGCCTTATTTAAGAGAATTATAGTGTTAAGGGCTGGGAGGGTGGGGGGGGGCATAAAATATTATTAAGAGACCTACCAACACTTCCTCCAATTTGAGCTTCAACAACAAGCTGAGATACTTCTCTACTCCCTTTGAGATTAGATTATCTAAACCAATAACGGATTTCCATAGCACTAAAATATGCAAGGAGAGATGTCAGGCAAGATTGTCCTGTAATGCCAAGCACTAACCAGGGCATTAAGGCACATACATTAACAAAAATCTTGGTTATTTATCTCAAATTTTTAGTGGTATTTTAAAGTTTTGGTTTAGGTTCAAAAGATCTTTTAAAGTTTTTTTTGTGTGTAAATAAGTATTACTTGTGTAAACAACCTTACAAATGATTATAATTATTAGTCAAAAGATTTTAAAAGTTTACTTTCTAGGTGGTACAAAGACAAGAATAAATAAGTACTTTAAAAATAAATTTATTACTCTCTTTAGGTTGACGAAGCTTTTCGCAAGACTTGTTAAACACAGTGAGCAGAGAAACCATATACAATCATAGAATAAAAGATCTTTGTAACAAGTCTTGCCCTGTTTTACAAATGAAATCCCCAGAGGCTGAGCAAGCAAGAATATGCAAAAGGAGAAGAGCACACAGCTAAATGGAAGTTACTGGTAATGTTTTTGTTCTTGAGCTGTGTGCTGGGTCCACAAGCATTTATTCAATTAGGCTACAGCAGACTAAACTAGCTAAATCAACAAACAAGTCAGACCTGGACCATTGGTGATGATATGTCATGAATCAAATTCTGTATGTGAAATCCGAAGGGGAAAAAAACCAATTCACAAGTAACAATTCTATAGGATTTAAATCTGCACTACGAACTGACAACAGATATGTCAGAGTCATGACCAAAACGTTCGTAAATATTTTCTGAGTAAAATATCATTATATTAAAAATAATTCAGAATGAACATCAAAATGGCCTTTATTTAACCTAAAACAACAACTTGGTCACCTTGTCATCCAAAAAATCTCTATAATTAAAACTGATTACAAAGATATATGAAGGTAGTATATTACAGTATAACTATTTTCACTAGAGTCACACACAAATCATTATAAATAATCTCCCTTATTGTCTTTTGCAGAGAAAATTATATAAAAATCTTAGCAATGCTTTTGAAGTGCATTGAAGAGTAGGAAATCAACTAATGTTGGTAGAATTAAACTAAACTTTACAAGTTAAACATGTCTTCTTATCAAAGCATTTAGCAATATTATATTTTTGCAATCGTTTCTGAATTAAACCTCAGATTTCTAACTTTTAAATTGTATTTTATTACATTCTCATATATTAGTAGTATGACTTTTAACAGAGTAATATCTATAACACTAAAAGTTCCCTTCATTTAACCTATCATCCCAAATTAATTTTATTTAGAAAATAAGTCTTTTCTTCATGATTCTACAATGTAATAACTTGAAATAATTTATTCAGTTTTAGTAGTACATAATTTTTTAACTTAATTTCCTACTGTACTAATCAATGCTTAAAATAGAAAAATAAACTTTAAAAATGTGTTTCATCTATAATGTTCTTACTGAAAAATTAATTCTAATCACTAGCATGAACACAAGTGTTACTCTCCGGGGGTGTACACTGCTGAATAATTTGTTCAAATGTCAACTGCAATTCTCAAAAATCCTTTCTACCTCAAAATTTTAAACATCTGTAAAAAATAGTTGTTGTGAGAGTGGTTTACAATCGTGACACTATGACCTTTTGCTGTACACACCACAAAATTCAAGTCTCAAATACCATGCAAGCCGGAAATCTGATCATTCCTGCAGTAGCCATCTGCATGGTCCAATATCAAATATTAGTTCTAGGTGGCACTAAATCATGTGTTACAAATCTTTTTCTGCAGCCTCTATAATTAGTTGTAATTTGCTTTTTCTAAAATGTGTTTCTTATGGGGACATCTGGCCTTGAAAATTCCACCTTCCCATTGAAAAACTACTTAGTGTCTGGATTTTTTTTTTCTTGTAATATGGAGCACTGCATGGGTGGCATAACCAAGTCCAGACTTTTTTTTAAAATTAGATTCCAAGAACAGATGATTATTAAGAACCATTTAAGTATTACCAAACATAAATGTAAAATAAAACTTTGTTACAATTATAACTATCTACAGATTTCTAAATCAATCCCCCCAAATATTTAAAGTTCACACAATAAATTTTCAAGGCAATATATAGCATTGGTCTACTTACTTCCAAGAACTACATTAGTTAAGTTAAATTGGATAATACAGGTTTGAATCAAAAATTTCATAACAGGAAAAAAAAAATTGAGCCCAGTGGATTGATAAGACACTCAAAGTATCTACTTAAAATATAGCAAATGATTTCAACAATTCATAAATAACCTTAGTTAATTTCACACAATTGAAGTTATATTTGGGATACATTAATATTGCCTTTATGTACTTACAAAAATAATCAATTTACTACTCAATTCATTTGGTTCCAGAAAGCCTCCCTTAAAACTGAAAGTTAAATGTGGGTTAAAGAAAAAGTAATAAAAATGAATAATAGAGACACTACTTTTCTGCAAGATAAAAGTAAAAAAATTCATCACAATTATGCTGCTGTCCATACCTATTTGCTTCCTAGATTAAAAAATTTTGGTAGAAACACCTTAAATTCAATATTACAGCTTTATTTAAAAAAAAAAAAAGACACTAAAGAGAAATTAAAGATAAGTCAGAGAAGAAGTAAGTCAGAAAAAAAAGTCAGTTTCTGATGCCAAAACTTCAAAGACAACAATGAAATTTGACATATAAAAGAAGATTCAATATATTTTTACATTCCAAAAAAAAAACATGAGAAGATTTCACCTCATTTACAAATGTCATGTAAATTAAACATCATGCAGTTACTTTGCAAAAATTCAAAAATCTTCACCTGAAAGTTGGACACAATCAGGCCCCACTTCTAGAGGATATAGGTAATAAGCAATCTACGTTATCTCTATTAGGGCTATGGTCAGATAAGTGAAATCAGTACAAAAATATCCCTGAGGATATTTTATCCAAATTTAAGAACACCCTTTTCTAATTATGTTACTTTAATAGGCATGTAAAAATATAGTAAGTACAGGCCGGCCGAGTGGCGCAATGGTTAAGAACTGGCTTGGGATGCCAGAGGGCCCGGTTCGGATCCCACATATGAGGGCCAGTGACACTGCCCTCCACAGCTAAGATGCTGAACAACAGCTCAACCTGGAGCTGGGCTGCCATGAGTCGCCGGCGACGGCGTAGGCTGCAGCCCCTGTGGCAGTGGGTTGCCATGGGCTACCGTGTGTAGCCAGCAGCCAGCGTGAGCAGCCAGCAACCGTCCAGAAGCCGGCGACTGATCTGCCTCGCCCGGGAAGAGAGCAATGGTGGTGCCAACTTGGGCCAGTGAAGCAACGTCCTCCACAACTAGACTGAAGAACAAAAGGACAGCAACTTGTCTGTTCCCCTTCCCCCAATTCCCCAGCACTGTTCCCATCCCCCAATTCCCCAATAAAAATCTTTAAAAAATATATATATAGTAAGTACATAAGCTAAGATTTATTTATGTAGAAGTTGACATATCTCAAAAGTTAAAGAAATATCAAACACTAATAATAACTATAAAATTGGTTAATATAAACAACTAGGTTCAATAATTTCATACCTGCATTCCATCTTTAAGTTTCAAAATGCATTCCATTGTGTTGATGGTAATTACTACGGATTCCGAACCCAATTTTGTCCATGGTACATGGATCCTCAATTCGTGAATATGTCCACTTAAAAAGGTGAATGGTAATTTCAATTCCTTCAAACACAAAATAGTAAATAAAAATGAGTAAGTGCTTAATATTTTTTCATTCTAATATTCAAATTACTTTCTTAAAAGAAAACTGAAATTTCCAACACAAATATAGTTTGGGAATTATTGTTCATCAAAAAGTAGTATTGGGCCGGCCGAGTGGTTCAGTTTTAAGAGCGCGAGCGCTGAGCAACAGGGTCACCAGTTCGATTCCCACATGGACCAGTTAGCTGCGCCCGAACTGAGCTGCCACTGAGGTGCCAACAGGTGGCAAGATGGCTCAGCTGGTGAAAGCATGTGCTCCTAACAACGAGATTGCCTGTTCGACTTCATGAAATGGTGGGCTATGGCCACCCGCAAGAGCTGTCGATGGGCAGCCGGATGGCAATTAGACTTGGAGCTGAGCTAGCTGCGCCCTCCACAACTAAGATTGAAGGACAACAACTTGGCTGTTCCCCTTCCCCAATTCCCCAACACTATTCCCCTTCCGCAATTCCCCAATAAAAATCGTTAAATAGTAGTATCAAATTACTTGTTAAAACTACAAAAACTGATTGTGCAAGTTATATTTAACAAGCTACTTAACCTGTCTAGGCCTCAGCTTCTTACTCTGCCAAATGGAAATAATATACAATGCCTAATACATGACAAAGGTTCGTATATGGTAGTGGTGGTAATAGTCACAGCAGACAGAAGTCGTGCTTGAGATAACTGCAATGGTATATTGTTTAAAATCTCCACCTAAAAATATGTCCTCAAAATGTGTTTTAAACTACAGCTAGAATAGGACTGTAAGGCAACTTGAAAGGGGGATTAAAGTAGAGAAAGGAGAATGACCTGACTAAATAAAAATTGACCAACCTTAAATAAAAGAAAATTAAGCTTTACCTAATTAAAGATTGCACCTGGATATAATTTGGTCATAAATTTGAAATGTTTTCTGACTGGTTTCCATTATTATTCAAAAGAAGATTAAAAATGAAAACATAACTGTCACTACAATCACTTTATACTAATTTGTTTCACTTCCCAATACAATTTTTGTTATAAATCAACCAAGGAAGAAAAAATTAAGTGTATTTAAATTGTATTTTAATAACATTTTTACAGTTATTGTAACTCTGTGAAAGTTAAGATAAATATTACACTTATTCATTCATCCAACAATTGCTCACCTACTTGGTTTAGCAAAATAGTAGCAATATAGCTAACTATATATAGGCAATATGACAAAGTGGTTAAGACCAACAATAACTCTGGAGCCAGCAAACATAAATTTATATCCTATCTCTGCTACTTAGCACAATGACAGTGGGCAAGTTGCATAATGCATCTGTGCCTCAGTTTCTTTATCTGTAAAATTTGTTTAAGAATAGCATCTTTGAGGATTAAACTAATTTGTATAAAGTGCTTAGAACAATGTCTTCGTCAAACAGCAAACATTATTAAGATGCTAGCTACTATTATTATTATTACAAATGTGTGGGCTTAATGTATGTTTTCACAAGTTTTCTTAAAGGGCAGAATAACTAAAAATCTATTTCTACTATTCTACTCTAATCGAATATCACAATTTTTAAATATTTCTCATTATTAAAGATGCAATAATTTCAATATTGAATCAACTGGCACAGATTATAATTTGTTCAGTATCAATAACAAAGACAATGTTTACTGAGTATTTACTCTGTACCAGGCATTGTTCTAAGAACTTTACCTGCATGCTACTATTTAATCCTTATACAAGAACCCCAAAAGGTTAAGTACAGATGAAAACTATAAGGCATGGGAAGGTCAAGTAACTTCCCAAAATGACTCATCTAGGAGAGCCAAATTGGAAAATATGATGCCGAGCCCTTGCTCTTAACCACCATTATACTACATCTATACTTCCATTATGAGCCCTGAATGCCTTTCTAAATGCATCTATCTGGACAATGAGCAAATTACATTTCCACCTCTACCACTCCCTGATTTGTGTAACAATCATAATTGGTGAAATGGCTACCAAAGTTACAGTATATAGGCCAAACTGGATTTTCTCAGGGAAAAGTCAAAAGACACCAGAATCCAATTCAAGACTTTAGCATCATCAGAGTGCTACTAATCAACTGAACTATTGATACTAACCAAACACTGACGCAAGAGGCAGGACTCTATATTACAACATGGAATTTTGAACCGCACTGCCCGTGTGGGAAATCCAACTGAAGTTCAACACTTATTAACCATCCGACAACAAACAAGGTCCTTTCCATTTCCTCATCATAGACTTGTGGTAACAAGTGAGAACACATATATGCCTTACAAAAGGCAAAACACAAATGTCGATGGTTATAATAGACAGATCATCCCTAAAATGACGGATCATCCCTAACCTGATAACCACAAACAATTTTCTTCTCAGAATATATTCTACTACTTAAAAATATTTTATTCATTAGTAACTTCAGAAATACACTGTGAAAATGCATCCCTAAAACCATAACATCTATGACTATACAAAGGACATTAGTAGCAAAGAACTTAAGAAGAAGGTTGAATAGCTCTCAAAAATCTAATTCTAGATAGGCTATTACAAAATATTCCAACATGAAATAAAGGGATACCATACTTTAAAAATGAACACAGCAGACAACAAAAGCAAAAACAAATATGACCTAAAGAATTGCACACAGAAAAAAAAAATTCAACAGAGTAAAAAGGCAACCTATGGAATGGGAGAAAATATTTGCAAACTATAAATCTAATAAGGTGTTAATATCTAGAATAAAGACCTACAACAACAAAAAATCCAATTTTAAAATGGATACAACTTGAATAGACATTTCTCAAAAGAACATATACAAATGGCCAACAAGTATATGAAAAGATGTTCAACATTACTAATCATCAGGGAAATGCAAATCAAAACCACAAGGACATATTATCTCTTATCTGTTAGAATGGCCACTATCAAAAAAAAAAAAAGGAAAAGAAAAAGTAACAAGTGTTGGCAAAGATGTAAAGAAATTGAAACTCGGGCCGGCCGTGTGGAGTGTTGGTTAAGAGCTGATGTATTACAGCATTGTAAACTTGATACCTATGTAACTTTTTCCCCTTCCCCCAATTCCACAAATAAAAAAAAAAAAGAGTATATCTTATAAAAAAAAAAAATTGAAACTTGTGCACTGTTGGTGGAAACGTAAAATGGTGCAGCTGTTATAGAAAACTGTATTAGGCAGTCCTCAAAAAATTAAAAATAGAATTACCATATGCTATAGCAACCTCAGTTCTGGGTATATACCAAAAAGAACTGAAAGCAGGATCTCGAAAAGATATTTGGACAGCCATGTTCATTACAGCACTATTTACAATATCCAAGAGGTGGAAGCAACCTGAATGACCATGAAAAGTTAAATGGATAATGAAAATGTGGTACATACATACAATTGATTATTCAGTCTTCAAAAAAAGTAAATTCTGTCACATGCTACAACATGGATGAACACTGAGGATGTTTTGCTAAGTGAAACAGGCCAGTCACAAAACAACAAATATTGTGAGTCAACTTGAAGTATCTAAAGTGGCCAATTCTCAGAAACAAAAAATAGAACAATGGTTGTCAGAGACTGGAAGAAGATGGAAAAGGGAGTTGTCCAATGGGCACAGAGTTTAGGTTCGGAAGATGAAAAAGTTCTAGAGATCTGTTGAGCAACAATGTGCATATAATTAACACTGCTATACACTTAAAAATGGTTAAGAAAGTAAATTTTATGTTATGTGGTTTTTACCACAAAAAAAAAAGAATATAACATAACTTTAAGAATTCTGAGTTAGGAGCTTGGTGAATCCTCTCCCCAAAAAGCAAGGACAAAACTGGACAAAGCTGTCAAAACAACCAAAATCTCAGAGGATAAGGAAAGGCTAGGGTGAGGTCACATTATTAATTGATACATGCAACAAAACAGCAGGCCAGCCAGAAAATTAACAAGAAAGATCCAGAGAACAAGACAGCTAAAGATGGCCTTGCTTTTATATTATTTCACATATCCCTGCCTGGTAGTCTGAAAAGCTACATCCATGCGCCAAGATAGAAGACAACAGAGAGGGTCCTAACAAACTACTCATTCTTTTTTTTTTTTTAATTGGGGAATTAGGGGAGGGAAACAGTGTTGGGGAATTGGGGAAGGGGACCAGCCAAGTTGTTCAATCTTTGTTGTGGAGGGCGCCAATTGCCATCTGGCTCCCTGTCGGCAGCTCGTGGCCTCTAAACTCAAGGTGCTCAATTTTAGTTGCGGGTGGGTGTAGCCACCATGCCATGCTGGAGTCAAACCAGCAACCTTGTTGTTAAGAGTGCACACTCTATTCCCTGAGCCATCCGGGCGGCAGCTCAGCTCCAGGTGCCAAGTTCAGTCTTAGTTGCAAGCAGGCGTAGCCCACCATCAAACAGGCAGTCTTGTTAGGAGCACATGGTCTCACCAGCTGAGCCATCCTGCCACCTGTTGGCAGCTCAGCGGCAGCTCAGCTCAGGCGCAGCATCACTGGTCCATGTGGGAATCCAACCGGCGGCCCTGTTTTCAGAGCTCGGGCTTTTAAGCTAACTCTTAACCAACTGAGCCACTCGGCCGGCCCCCTACTCATTCATTATTGACCAAGAGTCCTTGTAAACACACTAAGTAAAAAAACTGATCAGACTTGTAAACTCCCTGAACTTTAAAAGCATTTCCAATATATACATATATCCCATGCCAAAGAGCAAAAGCCTTACTGGTTTAACAACCTGTAATCAATCAGTGGCTGACAACTAAGATATAGTGACCCACGGGTAATCCATTAGAAGCCAGTCCTAAAACTAGAAAGAGTTGTGGGGAGGTTGGAGGGGGACTGAGCACAGACATCAGAGGCCACACAGGGCAGGGCAAACAGACACCACACATTCAGTCCAGGCAGGTCACTAAACAAATAAACCCAGAGCAATAACCACCATCCCCTGAAGGGAGGAAATCAGAATTCAGAGTTGCTAT